GCTGGCATAAAACTTTTTTCAGGTAGTAAAGAAATATTTTTTGAATTGTGATTAATGTAATGTTCATACAGTAAACGGGCAATAAAAGTTTCTTATACATACAGTGGTCGACAAAATTATAGCCGCACCACATTTTGATAAGTTTTAGAATATAGTTTTGTCATTTAATATTGGTTATTTTTTTATAATTTTTTATTCTTTAACAAAAGCCGTGGTAAATGTTAATACAACTGTTTTATATATAATCCCAAATTTATGATATAAAATCCTCTCTACTAAAAAACTTAAATAGGGTAACACCGCTTCGAATTTTTAAAATTGAGCAATTGTCAAAAATCTGCCTTTTTATCAAAAAGTTGTTTACCAGGGTTTCTTTGAACTAATGATTGGTACTGAATTAAAGAATGCACACACATGAAAGATTGCGGCCATTTCAATACTCATTCAGTGTTAAACCTTTTTTGATTTGGCATTGGTATTTCAATCTTGCGATGAGTATGTTGATGTGTGAATTCATAACTGCTTTGAGTGAGTAGAAAATTAAAAAATTATAAACCTCAATCTTAAGCAAGGAATAAGTAATGAAAACTGAATAGAAAAAAATTGTTGATTTAAAATTGAAAATGATTTCACACTTACACAGCTGCAGCTCTGTCACATATACACAAAGGATGTGTTATGGCGTTTCTGTTCTCGTGTCTGAAATATTCATTCTACAGAGGTGATAACGCAGGAAACAATGTACCGAAAAGTACCCAGTGAGAGTTCGAAGGTCCTCCCTGCGCAGATTTATGAGCTTTTTTGAAGCTTCTTGTGATGTGTTTACCCTGAACACTCACAGCAGTGCCTACGGAATTTTTTGTCCACCCACTTATGGTGAGGTAGCTGCCCATAGGTATCGATCTTTTAAAATTCTGCGCCTAAATAGACCAGCTCCAGTTTTCCCATCTTCAAGTTTTTTAATTCCGAAGTAGTTAGGATTCTCAGTGCAGAAAGCGTAGCCTCCTTCTCTATTAGGATTGGGAAGGGCGGTATACCCACAAGAACACTGAATGCATCAGCAGAATAGGTCCGCATAACATCTTATGCCAATGCACACCATTCGGTGCTATTTGCTTAGTTTTGTCTCAACAGTTCTTTGTGTCGCTTTAGTCCACCATGCCAAGGATGCGTGGGTGACTATCGACTTCACAACTGTGTATAGATAGCCATTGGGTCACTTTTAGGGGGAGAGTCCCTAATTTTTCCTAAAGAGGCGTGTACAGGCGAAGAAGGCTTTAATCGCCTTGTTGACGGTTGCATCCAAATATTCGTTCTATGTGAGTGTCTTATCCAGCCTCACTCCCAGGTATTGTGCTTTTTTGCCGCCCAGAGAAAATTCCGTCATAACATTTTTCTCCGGTTAAACAAAACCAGAGTAGTTTTGGTAGAATTAATGGATAATCCTTTGGTGTCTCACAATCTTTGTGTAACGCGCAGGGCATATTGCATGCGGTCGGAGATCGTTTCGCCATGAATCCCTGTTTCGCAGATCACCCGATCGTCTGCACAGCCTTGTGTTTCGAAGCCGTGGTCGTTCAGTAGGAAGAAGAGTTCGTCTATAACCACAGTCCACAAGAGAGGAGAGAGTATACTCCCTTGAGGGAAACCCCTTTGGGGAAGTAAGAGGTTATTTCATGCCTCCCAACTCCGTACCGCTCTTCCTTGTTCCCTTCCCAATTCATGATGATATCACACGTTTAATAATATAGAGATGTAACTCAAAATTAACGTTTTTCGGATATTTCATCATACAATTAATAAGCTTGATAAGTAGAACTTGTTCAGCCTAACAGATGGCTTAACTTCCCAAACATCGCAAAGATATCGGTATTTTCAACTACCTTTTTGTATACCAACTGTGTGAGTTAATCAAACATTGATTGCGTTTTCCCACAAAATTTAAATTTTGAAATACTTCTGTATATTNTCTTTTTGTATACCAACTGTATGAGTTAATCAAACATTGATTGCGTTTTCCCACAAAATTTAATTTTTGAAATACTTCTGTATATTATTAAACGTGCGATATGGTTTACCCTCTTACATATCAAGGCACCTCATATTGCCCCGTATGACGTGTTGTCAAAAGCCCCTTAAATAGCAATGAAGGCACAAAGGGCTATGTTCTTAGACTCCAGAGCCTTTTCAATTATCCTCGTAAGGCTATGAATGAGAGTCTCAGGGTTCCATTAGGTTGACTTCTCTGATGTATTAATCCTAGATTTTCACCACGCCTTTAAGGAGAAAGGAGCTGAGACTAATTGGTCCTTAGGATGAAGGCATCTGCTCAGGTTTACTGCCTTCGGTAAAAATACGACCTTAACTTCTGTCCATCTACTGAGAATAGCATAGTAAAATTGATCAATTTATAAAAAAAATTTAATAGAATTAAATCTTTAAAGGCAGTTTTCTCGAAAAGCCCTGTTTGTATGATTTTCATTTTTGCCGTGCCCCACATATAATTTTTCATTTATGTTATAGGTTTTTCTTAATTACTCAAAAGTATTTGTGAAGTGCAGGGCACATTCGAATTCAAATGAAAAAAGTTACGCATAAAAAAATTAGTCCTTAAACAAGCTGTTCTTCCGAAAGCGGAAACGCAATGACTTTCAATTAGGCCCGTTTCATATAAAAAAAATTAAGGAAACCATGCAGGTGGTAAGATCCTCTACATTCCCGAGAACGCGTTATGTAATTGCTTTTTGCTCCTTCTTTTTTATACTGGGAGTATAAACACATAATTATGTATTGAACAGAGATAGAGATTGAATGTAAATATGTTAACTTAAATGGGTATTACTTGGTATCCATATGTTTAATAGAACCTAGACTAAGTTAAATATATAATCTATACCGCAGTTAATTTACCTTTGTTACCATTTTAAATAATAATAAAGAGATAATTTGATCATTCTTGAGTTAATACCTACGATTTACAGTTTTATTTTTTTGCTTTTCAGTTCATTTGTATTATACACTTCTTCTTCTTCTTTTTTGGCGCTGTTGGCCGAGTTCAGCAAAGCACGCCAGTCGTTTCTCCTCTGTGCCAACTGACGCCAATTGGAAATGCCAAGTGAAGCCAAGTCCTTCTCCACCTGATCTTTCCATCGCAGTGTGGGCCTCCCTCTTCCCCTGCTACCACCAGCGGGTTCCGAGTTGAATACTTTCAGAGCTGGAGCGTCGGTGTCCATTCGAACGACATGGCCAACCCAGCGTAGCCGCTGTATTTTAACTCGCTGCACTATGTCCGTGTCGTTGTAAAGCTCATACAGCTCATCGTTCCATCGTCTGCTGTACTCGCCGTCCCCAACGCGTATAGGCCCGTAAATCTTCCGCAAAATCTTTCTCTCAAACACTCCAAGAGTCACCTCATCGGATGTTGTCATTGTCCACTTAGGTCTCTTTTTTATGCGGTTCTTTTTTATGCGGATTTGAATTTATGCGGTTTTTTAAACCATTTTTTCGCTGTAGAGATTTTGGTTTTTTGAGAGTTTATATTACTTTCCGTCAGTTAGTAAGAGACATTGCTTCTGATAAATAATTTGTCTTTGTATTCTTCATGTATTTATTATGGTATTTTTTTTTGTTTTTGGTTAAAATACAGATAAAATTTTATTTATTTCATTAATGTTCAGTTTTACATGGAATAATAAGTGTTGAAGTGAAGAAATAATTTTTTTTTGCTTAATATTGCCTCACTGGATTTTTGTATGCGGTTTTTTAGAATTTTTTACATGGAGTATCTGAATTTATGCGGTTTTTGAAAATGCTGGAACGCATCCCTTTTTTTGTATGAAAGTCAAGAACTTTTTTATGCGTATTTTTTTTTATGCGGCTTTCTGAGGAACGCATGTACTGCATAAAAAAAGACCTAAGTGTATTTTTATATATAGTAAGTTTTTTTATGAAAATAAAATTGGAATGTTTAGCGCATATAATGCTTTTTAATTTTTTTTTCATAAGTATATCAGAAGTTGTTAAAAAAATTCAATTGATTATAAAAATTTGTACAAAACAAATTCGAAATTTTACAAACTGACCGCTTTATTTTGGTGCCCAATAAGTTTTCTAATAGCCATCAAAAAATCATATTAGAATGAATGGTTGCTGAAATATTGCAAAAAGTGTAAAAGCCTGCTTAAAAACTTGTTTGCAAATAACTCGTCGAAAAATTAAAATTAGCGCAAAAGCTTTGGNAATTTTTTTTTCATAAGTATATCAGAAGTTGTTAAAAAAATTCAATTGATTATAAAAATTTGTACAAAACAAATTCGAAATTTTACAAACTGACCGCTTTATTTTGGTGCCCAATAAGTTTTCTAATAGCCATCAAAAAATCATATTAGAATGAATGGTTGCTGAAATATTGCAAAAAGTGTAAAAGCCTGCTTAAAAACTTGTTTGCAAATAACTCGTCGAAAAATTAAAATTAGCGCAAAAGCTTTGGTGTCAATATTGCACACCATGTTAACTTTCAAAATCGGCCAATAACATATAAATAATCGGAAAGTCAACTTTGTATGGCCCACTTGAGAAAACTTTACTTATTCTGATTTTCCTTCATATTGTGCTACACTAACTTCTCCAACCGTTCGGAAACACTTCCATAACAGGTATCCTGTTTGTAGAAAGCAGTTTCTAAGAATGTATGTAAAGAAAGCATAGGATTAAAATGGCATGTTGTTATAGTAGCGGCCCCGCTCGGGTCGGCTTGTCCGTCAACGTTATCGTTGCCTGTTATAATTTTTATATATTTATAACATATGCTAAGGCAGCGAGCAGAAGCGAGAGAACCGCCAGGTTATCTCACCTTCTTTTATTGAATTATGGTCAATGACACATTTTATTTGTATAGTATAGGAAATGAGGAATTAAATTGGCTTGAGCTTCCATTATTAATTATATATTATACTTCTTTTGAAAATTATATTTTTATATTTTCGTTACATGTTATAATTCAGTGCAGTCTCCAAGCTGTTCGGCTTATGAAACGTTCAGCTCTACAGTTGTCAACGAGTCGACAAGGAGAGACCTCTTCAATTGTACGAAAGGTTAAAACATAATGTAAAAAGTAATTTTCTAGATAATAACATTTCACATTTTAGAAATCAGTAATGAAAAGGAGTCCGGCTTCAGCTTTAAGAAGCAACTGGATAACAATAGGCGAACAGCTTCTTTAATTATATTTTGCAGAAAAGTATATATATTTTTTCAATAGTTTCTTACATATGTCGTTTCCTGGATTAATGTGTAATTTTCAGTTCTATAAGCTGGCATGGATTAGGCTAAAAGAGTTATGTCGTGAACTGAAGTTGACAGAAGAACCCCATCTTAACAAGTTGTGGACGCTATTTGAACATTCGATTACTCAAAGGACAGAATTGATGCAAGACCGTCACCTCGACCAGATGCTTATGTGCGGAATCTATTTATATATAAGGGTTTGCATTAAAAAGTGTTTTTTCTTATGTTCTAAAACTAATATCTTATTTCGTAGGTCCAGGAAATAAAATCTAAGTCGTTTATGGATATAATGAAGTTTTACAGGAAGCAACCTCAAGCTCAAAGTAGCACATATAGAGAAGTCCTTATAGAACCGGCTGACGATGGAAGTGAGTAAATATAAAACTTTTCATTGTGATATACACCCAGCAACATAAAACGTTACCAATGGAACCTGCGCCTTTGGTAGACCTAGGTTAGGTTAGATTATCTTTGCTGTCCCCATTCAGCACAGAAGAAGGACGCATTAAGGCCACTATGGGCCCATTGTGATGCCAAATTATAGATTGCTTACGTCCCTTCTCATACCTTAGAAGTAAAACAATTTGTAGCCCTAATGATGCGGCCAAAATGTTTGATTCTATCTGAATCCAGTTTAGCCAAACATCCAAAGTAATATTGGAGAAACTAGCGCCGACGAGCCCTCGCCAATGCAGGACAATGGCACGTGGGTTGCCTTCAGGCAATGCCCGGTGAGAGCTCCAATTAAATGCCGGTCACTGCAAATGTAGTAAAAGACTAGATCTACGCTTATCCAACCTAGACCATATATGCCTTGCTGTCCTGCTCGTGGGTTCCACATCCCATCCAGCAGAACCGGATGTTCTAGCAGATGAGCGTGACAATCTTCGCCAGGCCGGCCCGGAAATCCACGCATTTTTAGAGACAAACCAGCTAACTGAGGAAGATTAAAAAGCGTGTTCCACACACATATCAAAACTCCCTTAACCACCAGAGGGAGTCTCGACTGTCTCCTATGCTGACGACTTCTCGATAATGGCGTCTGGGAATGGAATTGATGACTTGTGTTCGAAACAAAGAACTTTCAAAGTTATCTTAGCCAATATTTAGAGATGACGTCGAGCGTAGCGTTGAACACTTTAATGATACTGTTTTTAATTTGTTTCGAAAGTATGAACCAAAACGTAATATTGTTCGTGAAGAACCAATACAATTATGGTTCACTAAAGAGCGTAAAAAATAGAAAAATAAAAAGTCACATTTATAAGTCATGTTCATGTAAAATTAAAAAGAACTAGAGTGCCAGCCACTGTCGAAATTCGACCGTTCTTCTAGTTTTTAAGACCCTTGGAGAGGTTTTCTAATTTAGCCCGGTTTAACTTATAATAAGGGTATTCATCAGACTTTATAAATGCATTGTAAACCGTATAAACTTATAACTGTGTAAACCTTATAAATGAAATGTCAAAATTTGTATGGAAACTCGTTTACACATTTCTGATAAATTTCCAGCGATTTCACTGAATAAACTTGATAAACTGAAGTCAATGCAACTCTAGCTATGTTTTCTTGGGCAATAATCGGGATCCGCATAAAAATTTTGCACGCAAATTCAACAATAACGATGTGATCCTGATAGAGATCTGGTTCAATTATTATCCGTTCTGTTTGTTTTGTTTCACTGATAATTGGCCGCAAAGTTTGGTAGCCGTGACAAATGAATTCATACACAAACAGACATTCTGCCATTGTTTCTTCTTCGATGACTCGATAAACTTCGGTAACTTGATAATTTTCGATAACTAAATTTTTTATAGCAGAATTTATTTCAATTACTATCGAAAAAATAACTGCACCTGGGCCACATTGAAGAAGTGGAACTTACGTTACTTAGTTAGAAATTGTGAATAAAACGACAGGGTAGTTAATATAATTTTATAAGCTAAAGTTTATAATTTATCTTTTTTCTATCTAAGAATGGGGGAAACATTCCCGGGCCCGGGCATTTTAAGGGGCCTGAAATATCAGAGCCATAACTTGTTATTAGTTTTTTACAATTTAATTTTAAAAGAAAACAATGCGCATGCCTTCAGTAACCTGTTAATCGATACAGAAACAAATATTTTTCCATGTAATGCGATGTCATTTGATGTCAAATCATGTGATGTCATGTTATATGATGTTATATCATGTGAAGTCATGTCATACCATATGATGTCATATAATACGATGTCATATCATGTGATGTCATGCCATGCGATATCGTATTATGTGATATCATATTATGTGATGTCATGTCATGTGATGCCATATCATATCATATGATGTGATGTGATATCATATGATGTGATCACATGTAATGTGTCGAATATTAAATCGATAACGCTGTCGATAACTTTGTCGATAAATATACCAATAAAAAAATCAATAAATATATAGCAAAATATAACGATTCCAAAATCGATTTATTTGTTGTTAAATATATCGATAACATTATCGACAACAATATCGATTATTACACCGATAAAAATATTTATAACATTATCGATAACAATATCGATTATTTTATCGATAAGAATATCGGTTGTATTGATAGAAGTATCCATTATTATATCGATAGCAATATCGATTCTTATATCAATAGCAATATCAATCTTTATCCTAATATTTTTCTTCATATTTATCTTTATTTTTGCATATTCCCCTTCACCTTTACCTTATAGTAATTAACCTTGATCGTCATTTTATCCTTTATCTTTACGAATATTTGTTTTAGTTTTTATTTTTACCTTTACCTTTAACCTTTTCTTCGTCTATGTACGTACTAAGCGTTACTTTCCTTCCAGTATTGGGCTTAATATCAGTCCTATTCTTAAACTCTTATTAGCACTTTTTGTTAAATTAATACCACATATATTAGAAGCACTTGTTTCCGTGACAACTATTTCCGTGTGCATCATTGCCCATTTACTCCCAACCAACAAATCGCCGCTAAAGAAGTTTCACTTCAAAAATACAATACATTTGCTTACCCTTTCAGTTAACCTAACTCTTATGTATTACTCACTGTCTCCATTTTCGTCTTTGTCTTCACTTTTGCCTTTTCTTCATCGTTATCATTTATTTCGGCATCTTCATATTTAACTTTACTTCAAAGCTTAATTTCAAATGCGAAGTGAAACAACATGCGAAACATGTAAAATTGAACATGTTGCAGCAACATCTATACACAAATACGGAAATGTTTAAACGACGGTTTTGGCCGTAAACCATAAAAACTCTGCTCATCTACGAAAAAATGCCTTTCCAATGGTGTTCTTGGTTTTGAAATCGGTTCGGTAGAATCTCTAAACGAAGGCGGACAAAATTTATGTTAGCGTATTAATATAGATATTTAGGATTGTTAATCCCAAATCATTTTATGGTTTCGTAAATTCAAAGCGTAAGGCACATGGATTTCCGTCCGCTATGCACTATCGCAATACTGTGTCTAGCGACAGCCAACTCATTGCCAGCATGTTTGCTCAGTTCTTTAGGTCCAATTATTCGGTAGACTCCTCTACGAGAGGAGACTATCCGTATGAACTTTGTACGATTAACTCAGCTTTTATTCCAGTAATTTTTTCCTATGAAGTTTTACACTATTTAAAAACCTTAAAAGCGTCATTTAGGCCTGGACCTGATCATATTCCGACCTGTTTCGTTAAAAACTGCACTGACAATATCTGCGAGCCTTTAACAACTCTATTCAACTTGTCACTAAAACATGTCGTTTTTTCTACCTAATCGGCTTTCAGCCCAGTCTTCTTCAATGGATCTCTTCTTACCTCTCTGATAGGACACAAAGAGTTATTTATATTACAGTCAATAAAGCCAAAGGCGTTTTTGCATTTGTAAAGCGATGGTCAAAAGAGTTCAAAGATCCTTATGTTACAAAAGCTCTTTTTACCACTTTAGTTAGACCTATACTTTGGAATCCCCGCTACCAAGTTCATTCAGATAGGATTGAATCAATTCAAAAACAATTCTTGCTTTTTGCATTGCGTGATTTTAACTGGGATTCAGACTACAATCTCCCCCTTTACACTAGTCGTCTAAAGCTCATAAATTTGCCTACACTCTCAAGTCGTAGAGAAATGCTAGGTATAATATTGAAATTAATGACAGGCTTGATTAATGGCCCGGCCCTTCTGGCTGAGGTAAATTTTAATGTTCCCTCTCGAGTGTCAAGACACTTTCGACCTCTATTTTTAAAGCCATGCATAACTAATTTTGAACTAAAGGAATCATTCCGTTGTTTATGTCAAGATTTTAACTCTCATTCCAGCACTTTTGACATATCAGACTCGATTTTTGCTATAAAGAAAACAATCATTTCCACTCTCAATAATTGAAATACTATCTTTAGCATATCCAATCAGCTGATGGATTTGATTCTGTAGCTGAATAGTTTTAGATCTCGACACTTAGCCCTGTTTCAAAAAAAGGTCCGTACGTCATGGAATGGAATGGAGGGTAAAAACCGTTGGGATTAATTAATCAAAGTAAACGGTTCTCTCTCACGATTGGGAGAAATAGAGATTGCGCCCATCGCGGTACTGCTAATCCGCTCTTTGTGAATTTGACAGATTCAGCTGTGTGCGTGACGTCATCTTGGTGCAATTTTTGATTGAGGAAAACCAAATAGCGATTTAACTGGGTACGGTTTAGTTGTTTGCCCAATTGTTTTGGGCTATTGCGTCCGAATGGGTGACCCGATCCAAAAAATTTTACACACACTAGTAGTCAAGGGTCTACACTTTATTGTAAAACCTAATTTTGTAATTTCCGATCACTAATTTATTAATAAATTCGGTTTGAAAAATGCACTTTTTGTGAAATTTGGAGCGAGTTCTACGCAAATATACTGTGGATGATGTAGCCGGAGTTATATGCACAATAAATGTTGAACACCTCCCAATAGAAAGGTGTTCTGCACAAAAATACTGTTTATCGAGTTTACATTTTCGGTGTCAAAATGCTAATTTTAGACCTTTTCCAATGCTCCTCCAGGGGTATGTGGAAGGTTCCGAGGGATCAGGTGTGACTTTGTACAAAGTGTGAACTGTCCTCTTTCTTGTAGATTAGATTTCAGGACCCTTGCCCCCTTCCCCTCCGCGCATTACCCCAAAAACAGTGGGCAAATAAATAAACAATTGCAAATGTTCCATCATATCGGTAAAGAATATTAAGTCAGAAAGGCAATTTTCATTCTCCAATTGCGGGTAACGTTCCGATCACAATTTGCGTATGTGTATATATGTAAAAAGAATAAAATAAAAACACAATGAAAAATATTGTCCAGCAAAGAAATATGTATTTTAAAAACTAACAAGTAAGAAAATCTAAGTTCGGGCGGAACCGAACATTAAATACCCGGCGCAAGTATTAAATATATGCTTTTCACCTTTCCAAAAACTACCGCTACATGGTAAGCAGGGGTGGTTTTACTGCTATTTTAAACATCTTCAATAGAACGTTCAGTTAGATATAATGAGATAAACTTATATAGTCATATGTGGGCGGTATGACGCCCATTTTCCAAAATTCCAAATAATGCTACTTATTTTCAAGGGATTGTTGTTAGTATCAATTTTGAGTAAATTAGCGTCCATAAATTTCGAAATATAGAAGTTCCAAGCATTTCTGATATATACCGCTATATGAAAAGTGGCCGTAATTTTACTCCGGTTTCAATAATTTTCAGCGTTCTGTGTTAACGTGGCAAGCACCATAATCATACCTAGTTTGGTACAAATTGGTAGAACGGTTACCGAGATACATTTATGTGATCATAAGTGGGCGGTGCCACGCCCATTTTCAAAAATTTTATCATAAATGTACTTCCATGTAAAGAATTATTGCATGCATCAATTTTGAATAAATTAGCTTTAGTATTGATTTATCGAAGATTTCATATTTCTCTAAATTACCGTTATATGGGATGTGGGCGTGGTTATTGTCTGATTTTAGAAATTTTCAGCCATTTGGTATGTTGTACCAAGGCCAATAACTGTGCCAAGTTTAGGAGAAATTGGTGGAGCGGTTACGATATACACATATAATCATAAGTGGGCGTGGCTTACAATGTTCCTATTCCTAAAAATGATTGTGAACATCAGTTTTGAGTGAATAAGCTTCAGTTTCTGAAAAATACCGCTATATGGGAGGTAGGCGTGGTTATTGTCTGATTTTGCCCATTTTCAATACCATCCGTCCTACACCGTACCAAGTTTCGTTAAGATATCTCAATTTTTACTCGAGTTATCGTGTGCACAGACGGACGGACGGACAGACAGTCACCGCTTAATCGATTTCTCTTTTCATTCTGATCATTTATGTATACATTTGTCTATATCTATCTCGATTTGTTTGCCTGTTACAAACAACCCTTATGTGAACAAAGTTATAATACCCTTGTGCACAAGTGCGCTCGGGTATAAAAAGAGCCAAAATGTTCTTAGTAAAGAGAAAGTAACGCACTTTTCTAGGCAAAGAGCCGCATTTGGCTCAAAGAGCCGCGTTTGGACACCGTTGAAATATAACATCTTTACATAAATTATTTTTCATATTTGTATAAAGACGTGGGGTGAAACCCGCGGGTAAATGCTAATATTTTTATAAAATGTAACAAAAAAATTTGGTGGAAAAACATTGTAAATATTTAAAATAAAATCACCATGCACTCAGTTTTGATCGCCAGTGTGACTTTGTTTTGGACGGTTTTGCTGTTCCATAAGCAAATAAATCAATTTTTTGTTGAATGCATTTAGTTTTGTTTCTCCCCCGAAAAACACCTTTCTCAGTTGCACCCGTTGTTCTTATCTGCACCCCTTTCGGCATTTTAGGTCTGGCAACCCTATGTATCCTGTGGAACAAATATTGGAGAATGCGATTACTTAAATATTCATTTATAGTTTATTTACGGTCTNCCATCAGTCCTGTGGAACAAATATTGGAGAATGCGATTACTTAAATATTCATTTATANGACTTTGTTTTGGACGGTTTTGCTGTTCCATAAGCAAATAAATCAATTTTTTGTTGAATGCATTTAGTTTTGTTTCTCCCCCGAAAAACACCTTTCTCAGTTGCACCCGTTGTTCTTATCTGCACCCCTTTCGGCATTTTAGGTCTGGCAACCCTATGTACCATCAGTCCTGTGGAACAAATATTGGAGAATGCGATAGTTTAAATATTCATTTATAGTTTATTTACGGTCTATCAATTATTCCAGATGTTTATATAAGAAATTCGCTAGAAATACAGTAATAAAATACGAGTAATAGGAACAAATATATCAATTAAGCATTATTTTGTTTAGAACAATTCATTTATGCGTTTATTATTGTTTAATATTAATAGTGTGCTGCGTTTCCATTATTTTCTAGGGCTTCGAAGCTTTTTGAAATAGAATTAAGAGAGTGTTCCGATTTTACCTTCTGGGAGATTTTTTATTGTTTGATAAATTGTAAATTTTTCACCAAATTTTATTTGGTTATTTGGCTCACGTGTAAATTCAAAAAAGCAGGTGTCAATTAAATAAAATAACGGAAAAATTGGACTATTTTAGTCAAAAATAGCAAACCTGTAGTGAGATTCCCTCATTCGCTACGAAAAATTTTCGACTTGAAAATCTCTAGATGAGAGGCAGTGTGTTATCAGCTATAACTGGCAGAATGAGGAATATGTAACTGATGTTGCATATTGTTGGGAACAGGGACCGAAAATGTCAATAAAATGCAAAGATTTTTATTTTTAAATCATTACAACATATCGGAAAAATAAAAAACCAAACATATCGATTATTCTTGATCGAAAAAAGTCATACAATAAATTGATATAAAAAATGGAAATATGGTTTTAACGGTTAAATTATGATTTTATAAGGATCATAGTCTTGATGGTCCCCGGTAAAGAGCGATAGCGCAGTAGGAATCCCACTGCTGTTAAGCCGTTTTAGGTCACCAGCCAAACTAGGCCATGTATCCATACATGGTCGTCAAACCCCAAGATAATTTTTCTCGGCAATGCAATTATTTTCCTTAGGCTCAAGTTTCCACTTTGTGGTAAAAACCTAACTTATTTAACATTAAGTGAGTCTCAAGGGTATTAACAGTATATAGGTGGTTTCTAGCACCGAATTGAGACAAAATATTCTCTCTCTAGAATAAAAAAATTCAAGATTTTTAGAATTGCTTGGGAAGCAGAAACTTTTTCGTACATGCTAAAAAAGTATGAGTATTAAGAATTTTCATTTACTTATTATAAAGTGAGTTTCTTAAGCATTCAACCAACCTCTTTGTATCTTACAGCTGGACCACCTCGGTATCGCGACATAATATATTTTTATAATAACCTATACGTTAAGAAGATGACTCCATATGCCCTTATCTTCAGTGGAAAGAAACAATCGGTAAGTTATTTTATAAAGGCTCATTTCACGGTAACTATTGAAAGGTTCCGTCACACCCTTCCCTGTGGAATATTTATTATAGCAACAATAATCTATACATAGTCCAGATTTTTTGAACACGATAATCTTGAAAACTACTAAACGGATTTAGACGATTTTTTTTAGTTTAATCTGTATTTATAGGAATATAGGAGTAAAGTTAGTGTTTAGAATTGATTTTTTCTAAGAGCGCGGTTACCCACGAACGTGATCGTAGCGTTGCGTAGAAGTACGTAGAAGCATATCTAGTTAGTTGAGAGAAAGAGAGGGAAGTAACGTCTACGTCACGGTCATACGGTGGTGAGTTTTTGTTAATACGAAAATTCCATAAGGTAGATTGCGACACATTACATCACATATCGCACACCGTCGTCAAAACAGTCACAACTCAAAATTTGTCATTTTTGAAATTATGCGCTAAGAATGTACACAGGGCTTTTATTTACCTATCAGCAAAAGCTGGAGCAAATTTTGATTTTGATTTGTTAAAAAAACCTAAGGTAAAGTCTCCCTTGCCCATATGATTAGCATGTGCTACGAAATAACTTCTTCTGACGAACGTATTATTTTGACTTGTGACTCTTTTGAAGACGGTGTGCGATATGTGCATTGAAAAGTTGTATTTTGTCATCCTATCAATTTTATATCTGAGAGAGATTTGTAATGGAGACTCCGGGCTTTTTCGGTAATGCAAACTACACAGTATGCCTAATGCAACCCGTTCGAGAAAAGCAAATCTGGCATCTTTCCGAAAATCGAACATTCGAAAAAGCAACTCTGTCCCAGCTGTTGCGCAAAATTAGCGCAAAACTCGCAACGAGTAAGAAGCAGATGCAGAAACGAATAATTACTAATTTTGAGTTGGTTGAGCTACTATGTCATGTAAGTGATTGCTTTTATATTTTTATTTAATATTAATTAAGGTTTTCTTAAATTCAACAGGTTAGACGAGGAAGAAGTAGCGCCAAGTGCACTTAAGCTGCTTGTGAGAGTCCGGCTGGAAATGGAGAGGGAGTTTGCTGCTGGCTGAAAAAAAAGTCATATTTATGGGGTAAAGTACTTCAACAAATGAAAAATGTTCAGCCGGAATTCGATCAGACAAGGGAACAGATTTCGACGAGGTATACGGTGTTCGCCACTCAATAAACCCACCGGAAAGCAATTTGCAGTCGTCACTGGAACGCGATGTCGAGGATGCTCCTGTAGAGGACCGAAATTCGTCCGAATTGCCCAGTACTAGTGGAAAAAGACGAAAAGTTGATTCAAACAACGAAGCAGCTCAGTTTCTGGAACATGTGGAAGAAAAGGAGCAAGCCCGTCATTAGGAGGTGTAGGAGCTTGAGCAAAAAGTTCAAAATAGAGAAGCAAAGAATTCAAGCGCTAATTGCTTTACCAAATATTTTACAAAATAAAAATAACTAAAGTATTCATTGTTTTATGAGTTACATAAAATACATATGTACAAATTTTGAACTCAAAACTTTAATTGAATAAATACACATACATACATATCCAGTATTTTTAATACGGAAAACTTATTTTTTGTTAAAGTTTTCAAATATGTGCATATGTATATCGGTGGTCCTCTGCAATAACGACACAACTCAAAACTAAAAAAAACCTTCTTCTGTTAAGAGGATCATGTCTCTAATCCTTGTCTAATCAATGTCTAATCTTTGCTATTTACTTTAGTAAGGATTAGACAAGGATTACAGACATGAACCCCTTAACAGAAGAAGGTTTTTTTTAGTTTTGAGTTGTGTCGTTATTGCAGAGGACCATCGATATGTATATATGGGAATAAACGAATTTATGCATCTAAGAACCAAATAATGTTGTCAAATTATTCCTCAACTGAATACCATAGGGATCTTCTTCGTCGCCAATGTAAAACTGCGGATTTTGTTCATGGCTTCTGTTATCAATATGATTTGTTTCAATAGCTACAGGTGCATGTCCCGAAGTTTCCCTATTTATTATAAAATTATGCAATAATGCACAGGGCAATATTATGGATGACACTCATTTTAGAGGCCAAACACTAATATAATTAAAAATTTTAAATTTTTGTTTAAAAATACCAAAAGCTTGTTCTATATGGACACGTGTTGAGCTGAGGTAAAAGTTGAATGTTGTTTGTTCACGGCTGAGGTGGCCGTTGTTCCTATATGGAGTCATTAAAAACTTTGAAATAGGGTACGCGGAGTCGCCCAGGATAACTGCATTTTCAGCGAGCTCAACTTGACCAGTCGTGATAGCCTTGAATATTGGGCTGTTTTTCCATACCTTCGCATCGTGACAGCTTCCTGGGTAACCAGTAAACACGTCCAGGAAACGGAATTTATTGTCGCATATGGCCTTTAAGATTAAATTTCCATGAAAATGATATAAATCCGTATATTTGTTGCAAAAAGCTTACTTGCATTATTATGGAATGGGTTCCTTTCCGATTGTAATAACTTATAGCATCCGTGTTTGGGGTCGGTATTTTGAAGTGAGTGCCATCTAGACATCCAATTACAAAGGGGAAGAGATTATTTCTGGTGTTCTGAATACTTTCCAGTATTCCACACTGAGTTTCAGCGGAAGGCCACTTAATTTCATGCTTTAACCCACGACAAATAGTGGCTTGTGCGCTGTTGCTTTAGATATATTAAAGCGGTCGCTTAATTGCCGGAACGTTAGATTAGTATTAACCAACCTTCACAAGGTCACATACAGGCACTTCTGCAAAGAATATCCCATACGCCCGCGCAGATCAGTACTCCAGAATGGTTAAAGGGTCGTTTTCAATGCCTGTGTAGAAACTTATGAATTATTGTACACGTAAGTATGCTTCTAAGTACCTTAAAAGTGTCACGTGACATTCGGAAATGGCCAAAAAAGACGTCGTCGGCATAATTCTGTATAGTTTTGAAGTCGTTTGCAACTTTTGGTATCAAGCGTTTCGCTTTAAAGCTGTTCGCTATCAATATATTCCTTAGTTTTACACGGTTCATTCTCCTTTTGAGCTTATTTGAGAGAAAGCGATCATTTTCGTTCTCTAATTTGTCAATAAGTATATTAATTAAGAATATTTCACTCATTTTTATGTTTGTAAATGCAAATTTTCTAATGCGCAGTGACTACACAGTTTTAAACAACAGCATCAGCCGGCATAATGTAAGCTGTGCAAATTGCGCAGAGTTGCCAGTATTTACTGCATTACCTCCAATAAAAGTTGTTTGCTTTCATAGTCATAAACCACAAAAGTGCACATTAGGTCAAATGATTACTTTTTCTGTGCGAAATTAATAGAAGCTTAAATATTGCATTATTTTAATGTAAAAAGATGGCAAACGTTGAAACAAGTGTAAAGGCAGTAAATAAAATGTTAAACAGACTTGGCTTTCATAAAACAGACTTTTCTGCTTTTTTGTATGTGGAAATGATGAGTATATGTGTTTAGGTAGTACTCAAAAACATTGCCCAATTAGCTTGGTTTTAACACAAGTTATTTTCTTACCATACTCAACTCCCTCGCCTTTAAAATGAGCTACATAATAAAATAAGTATGGTCATATATACATAAATGGTTTCTTCTAGCGATTAGTTATAGCATTATCGAAATTCCTAAATTAAAAAAAGAAAAATATTTACTACATGTCTCGCAGATATGTCTTGAGGAGAGATTCCTAAAGCAGTTTGTCTTCATAAAACACTTCATTTTCACTTGAGGCTTCAGTATTTCCAAATTCTCCACCGATATTATTTATATTCAGAACACAAATGCTGCTTTGTGACACATTTACCAAAAATCGCTGGTAACTTCCTGAAAAGAATACGAATGTTTATGAAACTAATTTGTTAAAAGAATGTTCAAAGCTCTATTCACTTTGATAAAAAAAATTCGAAATTTGCTGCTCATCAATGGTCTTTGCGAATCGGCGCTAGTGTATTTATAACATAGCCTCGGCTACGCAACAGGAGATGAAATGTAATCCAAATTGAGGCCGCTATTTTTTTTTTTGCTATCACATACTTCCATTTTCACTATTTATCACCATTAAAATAAAAACAACTAGACACGAATGAAGACGCTCGGGTGTTTTGATAGCGAAAAAGGACGTGTGAAAAAATTTTACCAAAAAATCCGCTTGAAAGAATTTCGGCGAAGAAAGATGGATTCAACATCATTCCGGACGCTCGCAAACATACTTGACCGCAAAAATAAGTTTATGCGTCTTTCTTTGCCGACATTTTTTTTACGCGTCTTTTTCGCCGTCAACTTTTGAGCTCGCGTTTTTATACGTATCCAGTGACGATATATATGAATGATACATGTAGATATGTCTGTATAGTAAAATGAATTGTTATACGCTGTTAATTTGTTTTTATTGTACTAGCTGTGTTTAAGTTTTACTAAATGTTGTTATGTATGTTTTTAATAAATTTAGCATTGAAAAAAAATATATATTAAAAGCTCAAAAAAATGTTTGGTAGGTTTCAGTTGGTTGTGGTAGGAAATTTTGGTAGGAAAAAAAATTTGTCTGTGGCAACACTGCCCCAGAGGCAAACCATTCCCGGTGGGCGGGGTCGGAGAAGCTCTTGATTACGCATAACCAAACGAAACTCGAAGTTTACGTAAATTACAAAGAATTAATTATAAAGAGTAAAGCATGAATAATACGATATGGTTGTATATAATGAAGTTTTTAAATAATATTTTTGTAATTACTGTAGTTAAAAAAAAAGAGATTTCGTGCTATTTCCAACTTGCGGGGGAGTTGTAGAGTTGAGCGCTCCTTAGTTGGTTGGATAGCACCTTAAAATTATATCGCGACACCTGTCGTTATTTAGCATAAGAAACACATCTGGTAACGTAGTAATAAGAATGAAATGTAACCAAACCACTTCACATTAGGTCAAATGATACATTATTATTTTTTGTTGCCATTCTGTAGGGAATACTCCAAAATAAC